ACAAGAGATATTCTAATAAACGATAAAACATATAAAGAATGAAACATTTTTGAAAATTGAATGAAACATTTTTGAAAATTGAATGAAACATTTTTGAAAACTGAATACTTTATTTTCGTAAGTGACACTTTTTCATGCATAAAACGTTTCAAAATATTAATAAATTAAATTTATCAGTTAAATTATGTTCATGGTCACTATTGACCATGACATTCATTTCATTACTCAAACTACATAAAAAATTTCAATGAAATGAAATCAGATTTCATATTGTAGTGCTTTTACAATTTATATTTTAATAAGTAAAATTTAATAAAATAATAAAAAAACTATTAATGGTTAAGAAAATTTGATTTACCATCTTTTATATTTAATGTTTCTATTATTACGTTTCCATAATTAAAAGTAATTATTACTTTCCAATATTAACAAGTATACAATCAAATGACTATCATACCCCTATTTATTAAAATTAAAGAAAAAAAAACAAAAATTTTCTATTGGTCGAAAATGATTTGCATAGTTTTCATGAATTGGGCGGTTTGTAACGTAACCCGCCTCTATATATATAAACATAATTTAAGAGTAAATTAGAGATTTGGCCCATGTGGTTTGAAAATTGGTAAAATAAAGAAAAGAAATGCTTAAAAGATCAGATTTGATATAAAAAGTTGGATGTCCGTTAGTGTGAAGGACCAACTTCAATACAAATTGCATAGATGGAGAGTTATTTTGTAATAATTGAAGATAAAAGACCAGTTCCGTAACAAATGACAAAAGATAAGGACCAAATATGTAATTTACTCTAAATTTGATGATGGAACCCCATCAACCATCGATCAACTTTAAATCCAAAGGTTGTGAATAACACGGGGGTTACATTTTTTCAAAACAAAATTATGTGATTTTAGTGGCCGTTACATTTGAATTTATGTAATATAATATTAATCATTTGTAAAACTCTTAATTCATATAAATAATACAATGTAATCTCAACCGTTTATATAGTCTAATAAATACATGGTTATATAATATATTGATTGTTTTATAATATAAAATGTTGATCATAATGACTGAATTCTAATCACCTTTCATGAATATCCGGATAGTAAATAAACCCTTATCATTTCCATAAATATCTCAATTGATTGGTTTTTATTAATTATGAGGTTTGCAAATGATTAGCCGTGTATATGTGTATGTGTGTGTTTAAAATATATAAAAATATACTTGTAATGCAGTCTGATAATTAAAAACCACAAAATTGCACCGCAAACTACGGTTTAACAAAAATGTAAATCACAAGCACATAACAAAAGTTCTAAACCACTTAATATTGTACAATGTGGTGTGTAGCTTAGATGAACACCCACAGGATCAAGGATGATTTTGAGAGTTTTAAAACCTTAAAGAGTGAAAAAGAGAATATACAAAAGACGAAGGACTAAAATTGTAAACTCTTTATGCTAAAAAAATATCACTACATATTCCAGATTCTAATTAGATATCAAGCAAAATAAGAAAGTGAGAATATATTCTGTTGAAACTAGTCGAGCCAAATTGAAAATGATTCTGGCTGATAAATTGTTTTTCAGTTGAATTTGATGTTTGTTAAATATATGTAAGTATTTTGTTAAACTTATGATTAAATTTTTATCGGTTCTTTTATGACCATGTACTCGAATAAATTTGTTTTCCCTTAGAATCAGATATTTTATCTGTTTTTTTTATTTGCTATATATGTTTGATAACCTTTATTTGAGTAATGGTATATCGTTGATTTGGTTTATATCTTTTAGTGTATTATAAACATGTTGTTCACAGTTCTAATACAGCTTTTTAATAATCCAATGCTGTTGATTATTTCATATCCTTTAAAATTCAAAGTTACATGTTCATGCACATAAGTTGTTAAAGTTTTGATAATACCCTTCATCATTATATTTATCACAAAAAACCTGCATCAAAACTAAAATAAATTGCATCTTCATTTTTAAATCCAAACTGCTAAATTGTGAAAGATTTTTGTATTAAACAAGTTGTAACAAAACACGTAAAATTTACAGTATTTAACTTTACACCTGTATCGATGCATTTTTTTGGGGGGTTTTGTCAAGGTTTTCAAATTAGTAACACATGTTCAATCATCACCTGTAATTTCTAATTTACTCAAAACATGAATTATGGATTGTCTTCTTTTTAATGAATATGTTCGTTAGTTGTCTATTTTCATTTTACAATAAGTTTTTCTAATTGAATCCCACGTCTACACAACTTAAAAACAAACATATAAAACCACAAAAGTGGTGCCTTATTGGTTTGAGTTTGGGATCCAAAGGTCAAAAGTGTCTAGGGGTTCCAGGTTCAAATCAAAGGAGAAATAAAAATACCCTTGTGGTCACGGAGGTTCAAATGCGATGACTCCCGGTTACCCGTAAAGCAGATAGTCACCTTGAAATTTGTCGGCTCACATAGCAGGTTGGATATCTAGGAATTTAAGGTACTCATTTTGAGTTTTAAGATATACAACTAATTCGTGCATATCATAGTATCTCCAACAAATTCTCTATAATTTATCTATTTTAGAGATTTCAACATTTACTATATTATTAAAATATTCTTTAAATTTATCATCTCAATACACTTTTTAAATCAGATTTATATAAAATAATAATAATTCAATCTCATTGGTGGAAATAAATAAAAATTTAATCTGTTTCTCCAAACATCAAGTTTTAGAGAATTATCCAAGTTTAGAACTTTCTCTAGTTTTCTCTATTTTAAAGAACAATATAAAGAATTTGTTGAAGCAAAATAGAGAACAAACATCTCATTTTTATATATTTTAAAGAATCGGTTGAAGATGTTCGTACACATTATTGAAACTTTCATTGAACGTAAGGTATATTATTGAATTAATATTATGGATATTCGGTTATCTAGGTCCTCGTAGCAACTATCAAATACCAGTTTGTTATGTGAGTGTGATTTTAGGACTCTGGACACGATAAGTTTCATGTGCTGTTTTATTGGAAAGCTTTGTTCATGTTTTATTTAAATGCGATGACGAATGATTTGTAAGCATGCACGTTTTCTGTTGCATTTATGTATGGGTTCGGTTAACTGACATAGAGTGGGAGCCACCTTGGAATACAATGGTCGCACATGGGGATTTTCTTTGTGTGCAGATGTGCAATAATTCGTTTCTTGTCAGTATAATGATATAGTTTGGCAAGAATGCGTTCTTGCTGGTTTGTTACATGCGTGTGATGTTTGTGACCACTGTGCGTAGTTACTTGACTGTTAAAGTGTTTTAACGAGTATATATGCTCATCTAAACAAAATATTGTATACATGATTTTTTGATGGTTGATGTCAATATACATGAAAACCATGAACTCGCTAGACTTTTCGGTTTAATCATTTTTGTTTAAAATTAACGCGATTCAAGCTTTGGACTGATATTTGTCCAAAGGTGCAATTGGTGATCTGATTTTGATTTTTGGTTAACGTGTAGATCGGTATTGGTACTTTGAGGGTTTAATATCAATTATTTCTGTTATATTTTCTGCTGCAATTTTTTTAGATGTTATTGGGATAAAGATTGTGAAAGGTAAGATAATTCTTTCTGGCCTTAAAACGGGGGAGGCTCAGGTCTACATACAGGTCTTGAATCAATAGAATCCTCCAAATGCTAGGGAAAGAATATCGGGATTAGTCTCCTTGCCATTGCTGCTGTGTTTGAAAGTCTAGCTATCCTCTCCTTGTCATGCTTAGTTATTCTGCATTGTAGAATTAGCCGATGCTTATTCTTTAGATACCGTCATTGCTTCTTCTCCAGGCTAAAGAATGGAAAATCCTTCTCCTGTTCCATGAATCCAATTAATTCAAACTTGAAAATGATCTGTTTGATTCTCGAAGATTGAGAGGCAAGGGGATTGATTGAGAATAATGTGACGGGCGGTGTGTACAAGGCCCGGGGGGAAATTCCCTCTGCCCCTACCGTACTCCAGCTTGATAGTTTCCACCGCGAAACATATCTACTAATTCTTTGATTCCAGTTAGTAAGAGGGATATTTTTTGAGACATTCGGAATTATATTAGGGATATTTAAAAAAACTGGAAAATCGAAAAATCAAAAAAATAAAACCAATTTTGGAAAAAAAAAACAATAACTGAAAAAATTGAAAGTAAAAAAACCCAAATATTTACTGGTTGACTTAGATTTTGAATTATAAGTAGTTGTCGGTACACGATATGAAATTTATATAAATGAGAGTTTAAATGAGAATTCTTCTGTTTTGCGAAAATGCGAAAATAATTGTGGGTCTCTTAATATTTTTAACCAATTATTTAAATCATAACAAATAGAAACATATCAATAAGAGTAGTAATATAATTACTTAATTAGGTATTATTTTATGATTTTTATGTTATTTTAATTAATTATAATTATCCCATGATTTTAGGTCGGAACTGATCACGTTGAATCTCACGTTCCCGTCCCCGTCGTTTTATGTATCTGCAATATGATACCCAACCATCTTGCTTGATTCGAAGTGTTAACTGTGATAGCAATATGATTATCAATCCACTTCTGCATATCGATTTGAAGTGTTAACTGTGATAATCATGTGAGACTCAGACAACTTTTGTTAATCGATTCATCAATTGTGATAACAATCCCTCTGCAATCCCAAACATCAGAATAAGAAGTTATTTTTATAAGCAATCCCAAACATCCGAAGGTTTCTTATATTGACATTTCCTTACAATCATGGTCATCACTATGTTTGAGATTGTTTATAGAAATAACTTATTAACTTATTTCGGTGTAGTATCCGTAATAAATACTCTTGAATGTTTGGATAAACAATTTATGTCAAACCGGTAATAAAAAGTTTTAGTAGAACTTAATTTATAGGAAAAAACATTACTCTTTTGGGATAAGCAATCCCAAACAGCACCTAATAATAGAATCATTTGGTGCAATGTAATGGCGAAAACGAAAAATCCGAATCAGTTATCACTTCACATTACTTTCATTGTTGAAGAGAATTTGATGATACTCTCTTCCTAATATTTTGTTATCGCAGAAACAGCAATGGATTTGGGTATTTGAATGAAAACTGAAATTGTTTTGTAATGGAAGAACTTGCCATGGCTGCCATAGGTAGGTTTTCTGTTTCTAAATTTATATTGCACTATATGTTTCAAATGTGTTGGTTATGTTTCTGTTACGCTAATTTGGTTTTCAATAGAGGAATTAGCGTAATTAGGGTTCTATCTCTATCCGATTCAGTTTCTTATGGGTAGGGTTCTTTCACACGATAATCCAGGTGTTCAAATAGTTTTTTGGGGGTAATTGAACTAATTATCAACAATAACTACTATAAAACATGTGAGAATTTGTGAAACACCGCTAGATTACTCTGCTCCTGAGGAGAGAAATGGTCCAATAGCCAACTTGTGACTCTCACATTCCCCCTATAATAGAGGCTAGATGGGTGTACAAAAGGGCTAGACGAGTATAGATTGCCCCAAAGCATCGAGTAATAGAGTGGTAGACTTTGGCTGTGATACCATGTAAGAATATATGCAACCCCATTAGATTACTCCCTAAGGAGCCCTTGGAGCGTTCCAACATATATTGAGGAGAAATGGTCCAAGTCTAGCCGATCTCGTACTCTTATCAAAAAAGGGCGCGGATGTTAGATTTATGGCAATATCTATTAGACTTGGATTCCGAAAAATCCGACTTGACCTAGGAAGTCAAAATGTATTTCTTTTTGGGACGAAAACACTAATATGAATCCTTGTACTATACTCCGTATATTGGAATTTGCAATTTCTGTTGGTGGTTTTGGTAAATTTGCATAGCTTATTTGAACTTTGAAGCAACACCTTCCAAATGTTGATTTCGAAGTTAAAAAAAAAGAACTCATTTGACACTCAAAAGTCAAAATTTGGTTGTTCTTTTTGAAACAAAGGTGATACTTTATTCTCTTTTCACCTACTAATTGCAAACTTTTGACTCAGAAAATGAATTATCAAATAGCAGGGCAAATCTATAGGCACATTGACCACAATTCCTTCATGTAGAAATAACATACGCAATAATAATCACTCTCCTTAGGATAGAAAAAGATGGTAACTTTTTTTTTGAGGTATATGATATTTATATACGGCAAAACTCCCACACACTCCTCACACTTGGTGAGGCTTGAACCCCTGACCTCCAAAGAGGCTGGATCTGCTGGTAACCTGGATACTGTTGGGCCGATGATCATTTGGTAAGATGGTAACTTTGGTGGTGTAGATTAGTCTTAATTGTATTTCGGGAAGTAAAACTAAATCCTTTTGAAATGCATGATATATGCTATTAAAGAGCATCTTTGTAGTATAATTTGTGAATTTTTCTCCTGAATAATTGAGTATGTTGTACGTTACCTGCTGGGAGTCTTTTGTGAGGTTAAAACTATAGTAGCAAATTTTGGGTGTAAGTTTATAACATATCATATCAATTTCCGATTTAAAATTTGACCCTTTTGACATTACACTGTATTGTTTTGAGGATGTATGCTGTTAATTGCTCTCCTATAGTGGTGATATAGTGGTTCGCGGTCCTCAGGAGAATAGCTGTGCTATTTTCCGCATTTTGACTGCAGTTTTCAGTTGCAATAGCAGTGCTAAATCCGCGATTTTTCTTGTGCTTGATTTTTTACTTTAGCTGGTTTATTTGGGGTTGGGCTAAAATTCTCGGGCTCTTTTATTCGCAAAGCGTCAAGCTCTTTTAGGTTTAGCTTAAGATTTTTGAAGTTCATGACTTATGAGCTCTAAAGTTACTCAACAATGTTCTGAAATGATGTCAATTTGAAGCTGAAATATAGTTTGTTTGACTTTATAAGTCACTTCTTATTAATCGTTAGGAGCATGTATTTAGCTGCCGAAACATACATATTAATATGCAATTTCAATAACTACTAGATGGACTTTTGACTGCCAAAATATACTTTTATATATATATATATATATTTATATATATAAAAGATAATATAATTCTAATTATTAAATGAACCGCTCTACCACTACTTTATCATCGCGATAACCGCTATATCAAATCACAGTCAGGACCGTGATTTTAGATTTTGATCGCTGTAACAACATATGTCAGGATTAGGAAGCATGCATAAAAGATCGATGAACCATACATACAATAGTTACACCATCTTTCTTGACCCTTTTGTGAGGTGAAAGAGCTTTTTATTCTGAAAAAGATGAAACTTAGTATCTTATGTAACATGCTGCATGCAAAGACACCTTCTTTAACACTTGCAGAGCCTAGAGCCATTCTTCTTTTATTCATTTTGTATACAAATAGAATGAACTTGAAATTCTAAAACTGCATTATGTGCCATCCACCCATCCATCCATCCTTCCTTCCATTCATTTGTCTTAGAAGAAAGGGATCTTGTCAAGTAGACCATCGATAAAATCATTGAGTTTACCCCCGACACTCATGTCTGTTTGATCATCAAAAGGAAATGGTTCAAGCCATTCACTTGCTTTTAGCAGTTCCTCAATTGGAATCTCGGGTTTTGATCTCTCCAACGGGACTACACTTGAATATGTTCGTGGATCAGCGTTGTATGCCTGGAGAATGATCATACATTATGCTTCGCAAGTTCTACTATGTGCATAAACCAAAAAGTATTACTCCCTCCGTCCCAAAATAAGTTTCCACATTTCTATTTTAGTTTGTCCCAAAATAAGTGTCCACTTTCAAAGTAAGTGCCTACTTTCCAATTCTACCGTTAATCATGAGATGGAGAAAATTCCTTACTCCCTGTATTATTAGGGGTAAAATTGTCATTTGAAAACCAAACCAAACAGACCCAATAAATCCTATTCGGAAGTAGGGTTAGGAGGGGTGTGTGAGGTGTATGCAGACGTGACCTCTACCCCAACAGGGGAGAGTCCCCCCGGGGGGGGGGGGGGGGGAGGGAGTATCTTTAAGGGTTGTTATACCTGATCAGCATGGAGTTTCTTCACAAATGTTTTGAATAGCCTGAAATTCTTCTTTTTAAGTAACTCGTCTCCTAATCGAAGGAAAGTCAAGGCTTCCATCTTCAGTTTTGGTGGTTCATTTCTGCTGACTCCATTTGGTCTCACATTCAGAAGAATTTGATTGTAAGCATCACGGTCATATCGTTCAAGTGCATTTTCACCTGCGATATGAACGTCTTCTCTTTTCACCGAACTAAACACCTGTTAGTTGTTAACACATTGAATCATCATCGGTTATCAAGTTTCGTAGATTTTCAGATGCAAATCATAGTTATTTAACCTGTTGGACGAGTTCTTGAGGTCCACTTTTGGCTGCTGCATCTTGTTCTGAGTCTCTCATCTCCAAACAAGTGAAATTGAAAGCACCATAATGCCTTGAAAGCATTCGTGCAATGGGGCGATACCCGTCTCTATCGTTCAAGTTGTAGTATCCAGCAGTTAGCTCTGCAGCATGTGATTCGTCTTTATACCACCAATGGATACCCGATATCTGTTTCATCCAACAATTCATGTACCATTAATATCTGAAGTATGTGTGAGGATATGTGGAATCCCTTCGAATCTCTATCTAACAGAGCCCTTTGGGTGAGTTTGGTATGCATATGTCACTTGACAGGATGAGACACGCGAAAGTAAGGTAGGCGGGTGAAGAATTGTGTAAGGTTTTAGGGTTTTAATTTGACATGTGTAGTTTAGTAATTTACCAATCTTGTCTTATCTCCCAGATAATTGTTCCACCTATTTTGGCAATTTTGCCTCACTCAAGTCTGTCTTGTCCCGGTGTAATGTCGCATCAAAGGTGGGACATCAAGTTTTTGTTTTGTAATGTCCTGCATACCAAACGTACTTAGAATGAAGGTTCCTACACATATACATGTTTGATGGTCCGTGTTAGGATATGTGGAATCCATTTAAATCTCTCTTTGTAAAGAAACCGTTACGGAGAGGGGAAATTCTTATATATGTACGTATGTATGTAGAAAGAGAGAGGCAGATTCAATCGAGAATAATACCTAAATAAGAAAATAAGAAAACGGCCAAGTCACGTGCAAAATCAAATGTGATTTTTCATTAAGTGGTCAACAAAAGGGTGTGCAGGTGACGTGCCCATGACCTCAAGTCGCGGCTAGAGTCACATGAATCACATGTGATTTTATACGTAATTTTAGTGTAAAATCACATGTGATGCGACCGTTTTTTTATTTTCTTATATAGGTACCGTTCTCGTATGAACCCGACTCTCTCTCTCTCTCTCTCTCTCTATATATATATGTAGAGAGAGAGAGGGAAGTTTTATTAGGAACCAATAATTGATTACGAACCCGAGAATCACCCACATGCGCCACATGTCCTCTTAAGGGTGGATATTCATCATGAATAACACTTTCGTGATGAATATGGAGGCGTTATTCATCGTGAATCACACATTCATGATGAATATGTTACAACATTCATGATGAATAACACGTCCATGTTCCTGATGAATATGCCACGTATCGCGTTGTGGGCAGTCCCCCGGTTCCTAATCAATTTTAGGTTCCTAACGGAACCTGCCCTTATGTATAGACACACATGGGTTTGATGGTCCATTCTCTAGCCGATGTGAGACTCCAACATTATGTACTTTTTACGTCTTACAAAATCTCTTCTTTTTGTACTAAATCTTTTGATTACCTTGCAAGCTAACTTCACTTTACAGCCCAGGAAGGCTTTGTTGGCTTCGTTCAAGATCTGATCACCATGGATCAATAACTTGTTGGAATACCAAGTCAAGAAGAACTTCCCTTTTTCACTAAGGTAACCTTTTGATCCAAAGAAACCTGTTACATCTGGGTTGTTGTTGTATTCTCCAGCATCATCCGGAAACTCCCACTCGGGGTGTCCGGCATTGGTTGCAGCTTCTTTGAAATCCGCTTGGAGATACTTATCGTAGCACTGAAATATGCATCATTCGTGTTAATCCCGAATCAAGAACCTCCATCTCTGCATTTGGTTCGCACTACAATGAACATGGGTCTTTTAGGATGCCCAACGGTCACGGGATGTCTTAATAGAGTACATAACTCTATTTTATAAGACTCAGAGTTTATGGTTAGGTCGTCCAAGGACCACTAGGCGTTCTAAAAAGCCCATTTTGTTGTAGTGTCGGCTTAATCTCACCTGAAATTCACCTATACCAGGGAAAACCCAGCCTTGGCTTTGTGGGTACGAGGGATATCTGAGCTCCCCCGCAGGACCAAGCCCGACCTCAATGTCCGTAAATAGTTCCGCTTCCAAAAAGTCAGCCATGGTCTCTTTGAAACTCTTCATGTAGTCCCTATACATCTGCATCCATAAACATCCCAAAGTTGTTTCACGAACATAATTATCTTGAAATGCACCCATTTAGAAGAAAAATCTGCAAGAATTTGTAACAATTGTACTCCCTCTGTCCCAAATTAAATGCCACAACGGAAAAAACACAGTTTTAGAAATGTGTAATCATTATATTACACTTTTTTATCAACTAAATGGCCATTTTACTGATAATAACAGAGGGAGTAATGAATTTCTCCATCTCATAATTAAGGGTAGAATTGGAAAGTAGACATTTATCTCTGAAAGTGGACACTTATTTTGAGACAGAAGGAGTATCTTTTACATCGTAAGAAGCCTAACCTCAATAGCAGTTCGGCCACCAAAGAGCGGTTGATCATCTACACCAATCGTGAGATACTCTATGTTACGATTCCCGGCTCTATTGGTGTAAAAGATATCCGGATTCGTTTCTCCAACATCACGAACCCACTGCGGGATCGGGATGTTGACAACATCTCCGACGTTCCCACCACACTGATGAAATGACATAACAACCTGCATCTTGAGCCCACAGTCTTGAACAAGTTGAAACAAGACCCTATACGCACTCCAATCATACTCTTTAGGTCCTTTGGATTCAACGATCCCCCACCAAACGTCACACATGACTCCATCCACATTGGCTCCCTTCAATTGCTTCAGTTGCTTCTCGAGCCCAACTTTGTCTTCAAGAACATTATCAATTGTCACGATTCCCAACTGTTCATACATGTATATGCATGTCAATGATGTCATACGACATTGAATTGGTGAAAAGTAGTATGAGATTATGATTCGTAATGAATTACCTGAAGCATAACGTAGATTGGCACGTAGTTCGCCATCATCTTATCGTTCTCGTTAAGAGGGGTAGATGCCTGCATTTTGAGAAGTGTGAAGAGATGAATGTATGCTTTTCCTTTGAAGGTTTCTTTGCCTTATATAAGAAACCAAACTAACCTAGCCCAGTATATCCCACCCAGATATAATCTACGTAGACCTGACTTTTACGCTAAAGTGTAGAGCCGTTGTTACTGTGAAAACCCACTTTGACTGGTTTTGACAGAGCAAAGTGGTATTCTCACCCTGAGGTGAGGTGGGGTCAGGAGGGTATGATGTATGTAGACCTAACCTCTACTCTAAAGAGTAGAACAGTTGTTTATGTGGTATTCTCTTGACAACTATAAGTTACCATAACATTGTCGTTTTGTATATGACATATGGTTTTAAATTTTGGATGGTTACATCTAATCAGATAAGAGGGACCCACATGGGGTTGCTGTAGGTTTTTTATGTTTTATATCCGATTCAGCGTTATGCGTGCCATAGCATGGGTATGGCCACATGGTCATGATAAAATTTTGGCTTTCTTTCAGCTCTCAAGAGCTCTTGCTGCATTCTTAGATGGATGAATTTCATCCCAATCTTCACTTCTTGTTTCCTCTGGTTTACCCCCCCACAACCCCCAACCCACCAAAAAGGTCAAATTCAATGCAATCATACTATGGTGACTCATAACTGTGCATTAAATGGTATATTTTTATTGCAAGATTTGACCATTTACAATCTGCAGAAAGAATATGCCAAATAATTCTCCATTTTCACACTTCTCACAAATGGAAACAACTGTTTTACTCTTTTAGGTTGGTAGATGTCAGGTCTGCGTACATCCCACTCTAGACCCCACCCTTGTCTGGGATATATTAGGCTTGTTTGGTTTGGTTTGGTTTGGTTTAGGAAGAATATGCCAAACAATTTGGGCAAACTCTCATTTTTCACAAATGGAAACAACTGCTTTACTCTTTGGGGTAGGTGTCATTTCTATATATATCCCACTCCAGATCCTACCTTCAACTAGGATATTTTGTGTTTGTTTGGTTTAGAAAGAATATACCAAACAATTTGTGCAAGGTTTCTCATTTATCGCACTTTTCACAAATGGAAACTTCTGCTCTACTGAATGAGGTAAAGGTCAGGTCAGCGTACATCCCACTCAAAGACCCCACATCTCCAAATGAGCTATACTGGTTTGGGTTAGAAAGAATATGCCAAAAAAGAACATCAAGAGTAGTTTACCTTCGGTTCTTTAAAGGAAACCTCCGTGGCCAAAGCATGAGGACTTTTGATGGTTCTGCGAAACCCGAACCCCAGATTCTCCCCAAGTCGATGGGCAACCGGTTGCGTACTTTTCTGTGTCGTCTTTGGATGCAACTCCAGTTGGTGGCATGACCGTTGGCCCGTTGGCACAGCACCAAGTTTCGGGCACACTATGCTTGCCATTTCAACACCACTAATCGTCAATTAAACACCATTTATTATCGCATTATATACCACAAGAAGTAGAAAAAAAACCCCTTTAGATTTGTAGAGCAAAAATTGAAGAAAAAAATGTGTGTTTTTGTTTGGTTATTTGTGATGATTGATTAAATCATATGTTATGTGGCTGTGGGAAGCTGTTGGGCAGGTCTCACGAGGATCAAACAATCCAGAAATTGATGGTACCTTCTTTAACCTTTTTGGTCGACATTGTGTTTGTTTTGTATTTTAGTATGTGATCGTTAATAAATCTCGGTACGACTTTGTTTTAGTTTCATCATTGAAGCGTTTTTTTTTGTCGATACGTAGTTATGGTCGTATTTACCGACATGTTTGTGACCCTGTTGTACATGGTCGTTCGTATTTTTTGGAGGTTTTGTTACATATTGTGTACAAAGACTATAAAATTGTAGATCGATTGGATGAGCGATGAATTAAATAAATCGTAAAAGTTCATGCCATGTATTGTAATATAGGTCTTGTGAATTTAAACAATAAAAAATGTCTTAAATTGACGAAGTAATATAACATATGAAGTTTACTGAAAAAAGACCGAATTATTTTTATGTTAACGGAATTGTTTAGTGGAAGTTAGGGGTTTGATAAATACTGGATGATTGGGTGCATAATGACTAAGTGGCCAGAATGATTAATAGACTGTGTAAGATTTAGTGTTAGATAGAAAATGGTTGTTTGGAAACTGTTATGGATCAACAATCTGAATGACAAAAAATTACCATTTTACCCCAGTCGTTTACCAGAAAAGTGTATTATTTATAGAGATAAACTTTCCCCATCTCATAATTAAGGGTAGAATGGAAAAGTGGAAACTTAGTTTTGGAAGTGGACACTATTTTGGGACAGATTAACGTAGAAATATGGACACTTAATTTGGGACAAAGAGAGTATGAAAGAGGATTGCGGACGATCGCCAAATAATGAAACAGGTAAAACATAAAACAAGTCAACAAATAACCGACTCTAAAATTAACTGGCCACAACCAAATCAAATCCCTTATAGTCTAAATGTATTAGTAAAAACGAACAAAGAAAAAAGAGGACGATGATGGGATCGGGAAACGCCTTAAGAGACGGGAGAATACGAGCGAAAACCAAAACAGAAGAAGACGATTCAGTATAATCAACCATTATATCACTTAACGAGCTTAATGAATCATTCGTTCATCCAATCAACACTATTTATTTTTTAATATCAACCAACAACTAAAAGTTGTTAAATTAAATAACCAACATGCATTTATTGTTCACGTTCAAACAGAAGTCCTAATAATCATCTATAACCTCCCGATCTCAATCTCGACCTCAATTTCGATCTCGATCTCGATCTCTTCTATCCCACACCTTATTGTTTTACTCCACATGTCATGATTAAACAATATTATATTCAATCTTCAAAAATCAAAATCAGTCAAATTTATTTCAATCAGATAATTGAATTTATGGATAATTATATTTTAAAAGCATCTGTAGCGGCACGTCCATAAATTTCTAAGGACCACGTTTCTGAAAATTTCGCATTATTGAATAAGAGGTTCATGGCCGTTTAGGATGAATCGGTTCCACTACAGGGACCGGTTCTTCCTTAAGAAATGGTTTATTTTTGTTTTTTTATTTTATAAAATTAATAAAAATTAATTAGTTTAAAATAATAATTAATATTTCGTACCGATAATTCTCATATTAATTATGGTAATTCAATAAAAATTTAAAAATTACATAAGACATACTTTTTTTAACTATTTTATTATCAAAATTTTATTTTCATCTGAATTTTATTGGATAATTTTTAAATTTTATTGTTATTGTAGCTTATTATAAATTTCAGTTATTCTAATTTTTAATTATTGAAATCTGATTAAATAATAATTATTATAATTTTTGTTATTGTAATTTTTATTATATAGACCTTGGATCAGTCCATGATGAGGATGAAATGTACATAAAATGTGTAGTAAAGAGAAAACTGATGTGACAGAGTCATAAACCTCTTGAAAAGTTCATGACTGTGGATGCTCTTTTATCTATCTTCAAAAATCATTTTACTGCAACTCCTTACGTACAAGATTAAATAATAATACTTTATCAACTAAAAAATCAAAATCAGTTTAACAAGAAATTAAATTTATGGGCAAGTATATTTAGGGTTGGGTTCACGTTAGACAAGGTTTTTATACTTGAAATTTCACAGCAAAATGTTGTGAAGGTAAAAAGAAGCCGAATCTTCACAACAAAAACGCTGAAGGTTACCTTCATACCATTTTCCCGTGAAATTTCAAGCGTAAAAAAAATTTCTCACATGTCTCACGGAAACAATCTTGTCTTACATGATCCCAAGTTATTATATCTGTATCTACCTTCAAAAATCATTGTATTGCAACAACCCCTTGTGTAACAAAATTAAATTATATTACTTTATTGATTGAAAATCAAAATCAATGTTATTAAATACTAGAAGGGACTCGTGCAATGCACTGAGATAATTCTCAATTTTAATATTTAGTTTTTATTCTATCTCTATCGATATAATACAATTTTATGTGGTTTTGAGAAAATGATAATGTTTTTATTTTAAATGAAATATAAATTTGAAGATAGCACAAAAAAAAATCGATATTAGTATTAAATTAACTATTTAATAGTTCTCGTTTTTCTGATGTAACTTTTCTAAATTCAATTTTTTATTATAATTTAATTTAGAATTGATAACAAAGTAATTTATTGTTGGTTTAATAATATTTTTTTTATTAAAGATAATGATTAAACATTCTGATAGAATTTCAATGATTATCTTAATTATATTTTATATTTTCTATATTTAAAATAAATGTTTATCTTGTATTTGATTATGTTTATTCGCAGTTAGTTACACGAATTTAATTATGAAGCTTTAATAAGTTGTACTTATGCATAATTTACTTGTAATCTTGAATTTTAAGTAATATGCATCAATATACAGTACTTCATGTATAAAAAACGGTTTTTAAGAGTTTTTATCAAATGCTTTATAATATAGTATAGATTATAAAATTTTATTATTACAACTTCAAATCACCGTAATTTTATTTAAAAATATTTTTTTTATGAGTTTTATTTATTAATTTTAAATAAAATGTCCCTTTTAATATCCAATCCACAAACTTTTCACCTTACAAAAGCTCAATTGTTGGCTCAATCTCTACCACCATTTTTCACATGAGTTTTTAGGCTCATGCTAAATGTGTTGATAGAGGTATACCCCACAAAATTTAAGTGTCCAATGAGGTATGAGATAGCTTTATCTCTTCACGGTAGGTATGACAACAGGACGGGGATGCGGTGGGTTTTGTAATCCCTGGCCTCGGTCCTGCTTTTTTAGTAATAGCCCCCGACCCTGGTCCCTGGAAAGTACGGAGATTAACATCCCATTCCAGTCAAATCCCGGTCAAACCCCATAAAGAATATCTGTTAGTTTGAGTCTACCCGGGATCCCTGTCCCCAGTTTGAATCAATAGGGATCCCTAGCCCCAGGACTCGTTTCAGGGGGAATCCCCATCCCCTTTCGGGTCGGGTGAGTCGGGTTCCCCACCGGGCCAGGACAAATCACCATCCTTACTTCATTGTATAGGACCCCACATAGCTTATAGATTGTATTATACACGATAACTGTCTGTTTTATAATTATGTTTTAGATGGATGTTATATTTAGGTACGAGGTTTTATTTTATGTAATTTATGTTCATTTTTGTTTCAAGAGATATAATATAATCTTTATGTATACTATATTATAAAGCATTTGACAAAAACTCTTAAAAACTATTTTTATGCGTTAAGTACTGTTTATTAATGTATATTACTTAAAACTCAAGATGGCAAGTAGATTGTGTGTAAATATAACTTATTAAACCTGCATATTTGAATTCGTGTAATTAACTGCAGATAAACATAATCAAATACAGG